AGTTATTTTAAATAGCCTAGTAAAAATATTTCAAAATTTTACTGTTATTCTGTATTTTGGATCAAATAAATGCAGGCTTGGTGAACAGAAGAGACTTCTTTAAAAAACATTAAAAATCTTACTGTTCAAAAACTTTTGACTGGTAGTGTATAGGCAACTATAATTTTTCTCTAATTTCTAGCTTTTAATTGGCTTAGAAATCAGATAACTGCTGGACAATAACCAATAATAATTATTTGTTTATATACTACAAACACTTTTTTATCACATAAGGCAGAATAGTTTCTATACTGTAATAAATGCTATGTCAGTTAGCACTGCATTGTTCATATACTTTATTTATTACCTGGAGATGACTTGACAAACACAGATAAACCATATATTGTCGCAATCGTATGTTTAATGTCTTCATGTTTCCAGACGTTTCTGTTTTTCTGTGAAAACAACTGTTTTCATACAGCGATAGCTGGACGCTTTTGTCCATTTCCTCGTACGACTTTCTGCGCGAGAGCGCCCTCCGGCTTCGAGTGTGAATGAAACATACACTGGAGTGTTTAGCGCTCCGCGATGTTCATCTCGCCTTAATCTGGATCCGAATAAAACATCAGATCATGCACAGACTATACTGTCTCTTTGAATTTAAATCTATATTTATTCACACCGGCTCTTGAAAACCTCCATGCGAACACACTTGCCCGAAAAAGTGCGGGGGACGAATTTACGTGATATTAAAAGTGGGGGGGACACGTCCCCCGCGTCCCCTGCGTAATCTACGCCCCTGATATATACACACAGATGTGCTCATAAATTTACATACCCCTTGCAGAATGTGCAAAATGTTAACAATTTAAACTAAATAAGAGGGATCATGTAAATGGCATGTTATTTTTTATTTAGTACTGTCCTGAATAAGCTATTTCACATAACAGATGTTTACATATACTCCACAAGACAAAATAATAACTGAATTTTATAAAATGACCCCATTCAACCCATTCAAAAGTTTACATACCCTTGAATCTTAATACTACGTGTCATTTCCTGAATGATCCACGACTGTTTTTATATATTTTGTGATAGTTGTCCATGAGTCCCTTGTTGGTCCTGAGCAGTTCAACTGTCTGCTGTTCTTCAGAAAAATCCTCCAGCTCATATTTGATCCCTTTCCAAAAGTGACTGTATTATTTTGAGATCCATATTTTCACACTGAGGACAACTGAGGGACTCACACACAACTATTACAAAAGGTGAAAACATTTACTGACGCTCAAGAAGGCAACACAATGCATTAAGAGCCGGGGAATGTAAACTATTGAACAGGACGATGATGTGTAAGTCTTCTCATTTTGTTTAATGATCATACTTTTTTCATTTAGTACTGGACTTCAGAAGCTACATAAGTACTTACAGGTTTCCCATAAGACAAAATAAGTACAATTTACCCTGATCATCCAATTAAAAAAGTTTACACCCCACGTCTCTTAAAATGCATATATATAGTCTAATGTCTATTTTGTCTATTGTGTATTTTTTTTTATTTCCTATTCACATAATTTCTATACCCTTTTATTTTTTATTCACTTAATTCTGACAAAGGCATTAAATATTAATGATTGATGTACAGAGTTACACACTAGTATTAAAAACATAATACTGCAGTTCCCGTAATGAAGACATAAATGTTTCAAAAATTGCTATTGTTATGTGTAAAAATCGCGGTAGTGTGTACGTCTGAATTTTTGCGCACACATTTATTGCGGTAATCAATATTTTAAATTGACTTAAAATGTTGGCATGCGTGTCCAAATGAACTGCTATCTCTCTCTGTCCCGCTTGTCTGGCTGCAGTGTAGTACAGCCTATTTCTCCACGGCTCTTGTGTTTGGACTGGCAGCGCAGGGAGGGGGCGCGTGACTCAGTGACCAGCAGAGCATCGCTATGAATCAGTCCCTTCCTCCCTCCTCTCCGCTCATGTGAAGCTGCCTGGCGCAGGAGGATGCTGCTAGGTGCCTTTCACCGCACAAACCCAATGTCCCTATGCTGGGAAACAGGGAGCCAAGGCGTGGACGATGAAAAAGAAAAGTAAACGGCTTCAAGGAAGGATGTAGAGGCAGCTTCTGTAAATATGTAATCGCGCGCAGGGGCAGCGAGTCGAGGACGGTAGCGGTGTGAATTCGCAGCTTGCAGCATGATATATCTGTAGCGACCATTATTGCAAAAATATGGGCTCTCAAGTTGTGCAAACGCTACGCCAAGGAGTCTGGGCTTCACTGACCGGAGGATGGTATCATGATCCAGAGCAGAATAAATTCAACAATTCATGTCACCTGTATTTATGGATGTTTTTGCTCATGCTTCCATTATCTCTTCATTTGGTGAGTGATACAATGCCGCAGGCCGCCGATAATATGCGTTCTGCGATTAGAAAGCATTCAGTGCGTTATTGCTGCGGAAACCTTACACGGAATATTTCTCTGAAGAAATCAAATTGATCAACTCGTTAAATGTATTGTATTTTATATCAATTTTGGTGTTTGTTTGGTGCTAGCACTGTCGCATTTTTCTTCTGCATAGCCTCCTGTACAGGTGATGAACGTCTCAAAGCATTGTTTTGCATTTACAGTATAGGAAAATATGCATATATATTACGTGTTTTTGTCAGTGGTCAAGAAATTAATTATTATTATTAATATTATCATTGAGATAATAATAATACAAACCCCAAAATCTATTTTACTGTTTTATAGTTGATCTATCTAAAATAGCTCCAAAGATGTCATGGCTCTGATGTGTTTTCCCTCTCTTCCTTCCTCAGGCTCTTCCACCCACCACTACTACCCTCAGTATTTACTGCACCTCAGTGACAGTTTTCTTCATTGTCATTAAGATGGTAAATTATCGCCTCCATCTGATGTTCGATCAGGGCGACATTGTAGCCCAGAATAGTGTGCCTGACATCAGCAAAGGTGTAGACAAGAAAAGCAACGGATCTGATTCCTGTCTTCCATCTCTAAGGTAAGATCCAAAATCAGTTGTGCCATTTATTGAATTCAGCATTATTTAGCAGTGTTATCTTCTATTATTGTCTTATGCCTCCTGTCCTCAAAGCACTGCCAAAAGTATTTTGATATATTTTTCTCGTGACCAGACTAAAGTCTGAACTGTTTTAATCTACAGGAAGAGCAGCACAGTTCCTGACAGTGTTGCCACATCAGTATTGATCAAAAACAGACCAAGTCCAGTAATACAAGTCACAGTGAAACAGACTGAAACAGACCCTGGACTGATTGGAGTGAGTAATACTTTCGTGAATTTATGTACCACAATAATTTACATTTACTTTACAAAATATGTATTTTTACAGAATGTCACAAATATGTTAATGGTAATTAGTCTAAGAGCAACACTTGGAGAGCATAACTGCTTTACACAAATATTGCAGTGGATTTTGTTATGTATACTATTTTCTGTGCACTTTTAATAATATATTTTTTTTGTTAACCTGCTTTACAAAACTGTGAAGGAGGGTCCAAAATCTGAGGAGCTGAAGAATATAGAGGGTATGTACCAGCTTTAATTATAGCACTGGCCTGGTTTCACTGCAGTGCAAGAGATCCTCACAATTCTGGGAACATGCTGTGCAGATACATCGCTGTAAGTTTCTGTCACAGAGCCTTGCATATGAACTGAGGAATAACTTGACTACTTTCTATCTTGCCTCAGTTACACGTCACACTGAGTGTGACATCCTGCCAGGACCTCTCAAAAAGAGCTGTCAGACAGCTTTGTCAGAAAGCCCAAACACAGCTTCACACTTACATTGTGAGGGTCTCTGACTGCATCTAAAACACAGACATTTTACAATATTTTATTGAATTTAATGAAGAAGTGTAAGTTGTTCATGTAATATATTATAAAAATATTTTGTATAATCTAAAATAATTTTATAAAATAAATTAAATCAATTATACAGCCGTATATACTAAGGAAATTTGGTTAAAAGGATTTTATTCATTTTTCACCCCAAAAAAGAAAATTCTGTCATCCTTCCTTCACACCCTCATGTTGTTCCAAACCCATAAGACTATGGTTAATCTTAAAAGCACAAATTAAAAATAAATACATGAATAAATTGATGTTGAACAGGTTTAATTTAGGCTTTTGTTTACATCTAAATAGTGATCATAGTGATATTGAACATGGAAGCTTGTGTATGTGTCTTGTGTAATTTAATCTGACTCCTTGGAAGTTTTGGTTACTGGGACTTTCAATGGAGTCAGAAATCTCTCAAGTTTTAGTAAATCTTAATTTGTGTTTCAAAGATTAACTGAAGTCTAATGAGGGTTTGTAAATGATGACAGAAATGTAATCTTTGGTTGAACTAACCATTTAAAGCAGTTTGTGACATCAACCAATGGGGTTCATCATCTGGTAGCTACTGAATTAAATTCTTTCAAAAACCATATGTCTATTTGACATTTTAAACATGCTGTTTGTATATTGACTGGCTTTTACAGGTCAGAGTGATGAACGATCTAGGCCAGAGGCAGAGGAGCGACTCACCCCTGAGGATGTGTTCAGTCCCAACACTGACCAGTCTGCCCCCCTCCTGCAGGGGGAGCAGATTCCTTCAGCCCACAGGGACAAAGCTGAAGATGATCAACCACCTTCCTCTGTGAATGAAGAAGACAGTATAGAGGAGAAAGACAAACCCCCAACCGACCCCAACAACAATAATACCTTTCTAGAAATCACACGAGAAGCTGATGATGGAGAAACACCCGAGGAGAATTATTGCTCAGATGAAATTGCCGTGGTGCTGGTTGACAACTCGAGTCCCTCGGCCCATCTGGACGAGAGTGATACAGTGAAGATCATTATCACAATGAGCTGTGACCCACAGACAGCAGCCGAACTGGAGGAGTCCGTCAAACAGAGCATCTTAGAGTCAGCTCAGTCCCAGCAGGGAGAATCCGACTGTCCTGTCAAAATTCCTGTCATCACTTTCGATTCGCCTCACGAAGTGGAGGAACCCTCTGCAGGTGATGAAAAAGAAGATAAACTGGTTGCAGGAGACAGCTCTGTTCAGGAGAAGTCCGAACATCAAGACAGTCTTCTTGCCAAAGAGCCGATCAGTTCTGACTCTGCTCAAGAATGCAAAGAAATAGAGAGCAATGAGCTTGAGATGCCCAACCTGAGCCCCCAAGTGACCAATAACAGCTCTTCAGGCATTGATGTGAACTCCCACACTGAAAAAAACGACCCACCTGAGCTTAAAGTGGATGCTGATGGATTCTTGCAGATCCCCTCAGTGTATATGAGGTGCACTCAGAGTGGAAGGACACATGCTAGGGGACTCAGTATCGACAGTGGACGAGATGCTGTCCTCATTAGCCACAGAGCTAAAGATAAGCTCGGTACAATGACCTCCTCTAAATCAGACCTAGAAGCCAAGGAGGGACAGATACCCAATGAGTCCAACTTTGTTGAGTTTGTGTCTTTGCTGGAGTCAATCAATAGCGCCAGATTTGGGGGAGGAAATGAGGCTGAGAAGGAGAATGAAGAGAGAAATGGTGAGTGCTGATTTATGACACTGGATTTAATATCTTAACTCAGACTAATGGTCCAACTCCTTTCAGAGCAATGTATGATGGCGGAGAAGAACTCGGATGTGTCGGAATCCACAGGACAACAACAAGAGCGTCCAAATCCCCCAAATAGTCTGGCTACAGACACAATGAAAACCATTCCAGAAACTCTCATTCCTATTGTCTCTCCAGAGAGGTGGGTATTGTGCCATCTGGCATACTGTAAATTGCTGTGGATAAAAGCATCTGCTAAATGACTACTGCTATTTACTTTTTTTTTTTTTTTACCTGAACATAAACATGATATTTGCATATATAGAGAACATATGAAAAAAATATTACATATGACAGTAGTATTAAAGTATAATATTATGTACATACTGTACACACTACTCTTCGATTGTTTTTGGTCAGTTTTAATTTTATTAATAATTCAAAAAAATATTATTAATAATTTATTATGAATAATTTTATTTAGCAAGGACAGACACATGGTGAGAAAAAAACTGGAATGGGAGGAAAATTTGTATTTTTCCTCCATGTCCCTTTAGGAGCTCTGTATTAAAGTGATAAAAAGTGATGGTAAAGAAATTTAGAATGTTAGATTTCTATTTCAAATAAATGCTGTTATTTTGAACTTTCTATTCATTAAAGAATCCTAAAAAATGTATCACAGTTTCCACAAAAAATTAACATATTTGCATGATTTCTGAACTATCTATTTGACACTGAAGACTAGTAATGGCTGCTGAAAATCCTTTGCTATCACAGGAATTATGATACTTTTTTTTTTCAACAAGGAGACAACAAATTGATCAAAAGTGACAAAAACAAACAAAAACTAAATATTTCTATTTCAAATAAATTCTGTTCTTTTGAACTTTCTACCCATCAAAGAATCCTGGGAAACTTCATCCCTTTCCCTTTTTATACTACATATTAGAATGATTTCTGAAGGATCACGTGACTCTGAAGCCAGGAGTAATGATGCTGAAAATTCAGCTTTACACCACAGGAATACATTACATTTTAAAATATATTCAAATAGAAAACACTTATTTTAAATGTTAATAATGTTTCACAATATTGCTGTTTTTACTGTATTTTTGTTTAAATAAATGCAGCCTTGGTGAGCATTAGAGACTTTTAAAAATCAAAAGAATATTACCCCAAACTTTTGAATGGTAGTGTGTGTACCTCATGAAAAACAACAGTTATGAATATAAATTCACTTCACTTTAGGGTATTCTATTCTCTTTATCCTCACAGTCCACAGACAGATAAGGAGAGGGACCCTGATTATGATTCTCTGCCCTCACAAACGTCCCAGTCAGAGAGCTCTATGCTTCAGGTCATCTGTAGACCGGAGGCTACATCCAAAGAGGAGGCTTACACTTTTCACACTATTCATAGTGAGTACAGTGACTCTATGACAGAAACAATTGTAGTCTGTTATGTGCAGTGTCATATCTCTCTGGTGTTTGTGCATGTAGAGCTGGGTTTATAACATGTATAATATCTACAGGAGAGAGACCTCGGAAACTGTACAATGAAAGAGCTCTAAACTTACCCCTTGGTGCCGAGCTCATCACGGGCAACATATGGTACAGTATCCTATTCTACTTCTCTTTTACAATCACACCAATTAATATTTAATCAAAATTTAGTTGTAATGTTACCATCTCTCCATTAGTGATCTCCTCTCCACATCCTCTAACTCCGAGTGCCAGGATGGGTTAGTGGGAGGTCCTTCTGAATGCCCCTTCCAGCGACGTATCCTTCCAACTCGCCGACTCCGGCCCAGGAGAACCCATCCGGAAATATTCCAGGTGTAGAATCCCTTTTTCCACATAATATGCTGGCTCTAATTCAACACAATAGACAAAACACAGAAAACATGTTGTTTTGGTTTGGTTAAAATACTGTATCTTAAAGGGTTAGTTCACCCAAAATCGCCGACTCCGGCCCAGGAGAACCCATCCGGAAATATTCCAGGTGTAGAATCCCTTTTTCCACATAATATGCTGGCTCTAATTCAACACAATAGACAAAACACAGAAAACATGTTGGTTGTTTTGGTTAAAATACTGTATCTTAAAGGGTTAGTTCACCCAAAAATTAACATTTTGTCATTAATTACTCACCCTCATGTCGTTCTAAACCCGTAAGACCTCCGTTCATCTTCGGAACATAAATTAAGATATTTTTGATGAAATCTAAGAGCTCTCTGATCCTCCCATAGACAGCAAGGATACTACACGATCAATGCACAGACGTGTAGCAAGGACATCGGTAAAATAGTCCATGTGACATCAGTGGTTCAACTGTAATTTTACGAAGCTATGAGAATATTTTTTGTGCACAAAGAAAACAATAACAACATAATTTATTCAGCATTTCTTCTCCCCGAGTTACTGTCTTCCGCCATATTGGAGAGTATCACAGAATGTAATCAACGTAATCAGCGTTGTTTACGTTCAGCATGAGCGCGCTGTCTACTGAACGTAAACAACGTGTCGCACTACGCGTAAACAATGTAATTTGTGTTCGAATGAACACAAGATGAACGAAGGTCTTACGGGTTTGGAACGACATGAGTAATTAATGACAGAATTTTAATTTTTGGGTGAACTAACCCTTTAAAGGATAGCTCAACCAAAAATGGGAATTCAGCCAACATTTACCGTGGGTTTAAATATTTCTCATACACAGGAGGAGGACTCCTTAGATGAATCATCCGAGACATCAACCCAAGAGAAACCCTCAAGAAAGCTGTACTACAAACTAAAGGTTTTTCCTGGGAAATGGGTGAACATATTGTACGATCGCTTAACCTTGATGGCATTGTTAGACAGGTGAGTGTGACAATGAATGTGAGTGTGACCCTTTTTAGACATTGCATTGCTGTTCAAATAACATTAAGAACAAAAATACAATCATTGTTTTTGCAGGAACGAGGATATGACTGAAAACATGGTGGCTGTATTCTTAGCTTTCTTGGTGGCTTTTTTGGGGTTTGTGCTTCTAAATGAGGGCTGCTTCAAAGACATCTGGGTCTTTCAGTTCTGCCTGGTCATTGCTAGCTGTCAGTATTCCTTGCTGAAGGTACAGCGTTCCTCATTTTACAGCCTGTTTTTGCTGAAAATGAATCTGCTGCTAGGCTGCCTGCTAAAGCCTCTTTATGTTTTATAGAGTGTTCAGCCAGATGCGGCTTCACCTACTCATGTGAGTTTCCTAGAGAAGCATTCAAGAAAATGTCATATAGTTATGTTTAACAGGATGAAGAATGCTGGCATCACAATAGTAACGTCAGATGCCCTTCAGTACCTGCAAGACATTTTAGTCGGTATGTGTTTTTGTGCATGTTTGAAAAATTACAGATGGAGTCAAACCTGACTGACAGACATTTGACTTGATGTTGATCTGATATTTTCAGGGTTTACATACTGCTTTCCAGTAACATTCCTTCTTGGCTTCTTTCCGCAAATCAACACTTTTGTTATATACTTTTTAGAACAAATCGACATGCACTTTTTTGGAGGTACAGGTCCGTATCCATGCTAAATCATTTTTTTGACAATTTCTTGTCGAAACAGAGATAATAAAAAATGATTCTAAGTCAGAATTGGAGGAAACTAATGTTTCGATTTTTGCTTAGCTGCAACTGGGCTCCCATCTGCTGTGTACTGCATAGTACGAAGTCTTATAGCGCTATCTTTACTCTACGGATTCTGTCTTGGCGCTTTGAAGGTAAGATCTGTTGCAATTATGTATTTTAAATGACAACATGCATTTAATCTGCTGGAATAAAATGATGCAGTATACTTTAAAAATGAGTAGATTATCAGTATAAATAGTTTATTTTTTAATGCAATACAAGCTAGACTGTAAGTTTGTAATAGCAATGGCATCTTTTGCGTAGGAGCCTTGGGATGAACAGCATATTCCAGCACTTTTCTCTGGTTTCTGTGCCCTGCTAGTGGTCCTATCCTATCATCTTAGTCGACAAAGCAGTGATCCATCTGTGTTATTGTAAGAACACTATGCACTTTCCACAGATCATTTGGTTAGGAACATTTTGAACTGCCGCCATAGCTTGAAGCCCTCAAAATATGCCAGTACTTCGTTTGTAAGCACATATTTGTTTGTTTCTTTTATCTCAGCTCATTGATTAAGTCCAAGCTGATGCCGTCACTTGGACATGGTGAGGAAGACGAGGAGGAAATATCTGCTGCGAGCACAGACCCTCTTCCAGAGAAACTCAGAGGCTCAGTGGTAGGTATCTTTGATTTATTTAGGTAATATTCCAAAATTGTCTTCTATTTCACCTGAGCATTGACAAGAATAATCAGATGTACACTACTATTCAAAAGTCAAGAGTCAGTAAGATTTTTTCATGTTTTTAAAAGAAGCCTCTTATGTCTCCCATGTGTTTGAATTAAAAAGACAGTAAAAACGTCTCAGGTTACTTATGTAACCATGGTTCCCTGAGAAGGGGATGAGACACTGCGTCCTCTAGAGGTCGCTATGGGGAACGCCTTCAGCATGACCGGTGACTGAAGCATACATCTAAACACGACAATAACATTGACCGGCGACAGCCTGTGATGTCATCACCCGGCGCAACCGCAGTATAAAAGTGCGCCGGGAGAACATGTCATCCGCTTCTTCATCTGAAGCTTGCGTCCGAAGTGTGGCAAGGGAACTAGAGGACGCAGTGTCTCGTTCCCTTTCTCAGGGAACCATGGTTACATACGTAACCTGAGACGTTCCCTTCCAAGGGAACTTCGAACTGTGTCCTCTAGAGGTCGCTATGGGGAACGGTATACCCACGCCGCCATGCTGAGGGGAGTGCATGCCAGAAACCACGGCGAGCACTAAGTACCAACTTTACCATAGCCATGGGAGTTTCCCTAAGGATGCCTTGACGGCTGTCAGTGACATTATCCCCTTCGGCCAAGGGCCTGAGCTGCATACCATAAAAGAACTTACCTGTTAAGGGCTGGGCTAGGAAGCCCAAGCCTAGGGCAGAGCTCAAGGCTTGGAATCAGAAGAAAGAGATTCCTTTAACGGGATACGGCCAGGTGTCTAAAAACCAAACCAGACCCTGGCCTGCCATCCAGGGGGGCTACTGCCTGTTCTGAATAAACCTGCTCAAAGAACTGACTCGACAGATCTTTGGTAGCAACACCCTGCTCAGAAATGTATCAACAG